ACCTTAGAAGTAGCGGGTCTAGGCGAAGCTTTGCACAAAATGAGAGGAGAAATGGTCAAGGTCAAAATTTACGAGGGCCTGATGCCGAGGAAGATTACATTAAATATCCAAAATCCAAATAAAGGTACAACCCCAGTCCGATTCTCTCTATATGACTAACACTTCAAGGCTATCGACAAGGATCGGCGCAAAGCTTTGAATCTTAAAGCACGCGTTGCACTCTTTTTTCCTTGGACCGGTTTTTGTCCCAGGTGGGTTTTTCTGACAAGATTTTTAACGAGACAGCCATTATTCGTGCTGACTTAGGACAAGTCAACGGCATCCGAAGTTTCCTAAGATAAGCTTCGAGATCTGGGAGTCATCACCCTCGAATATCCTCTTTATTGCAAGAAAATTACTTAATGACAAAAAGGCTTCGATAGGAAAATGTTGTAAGGGTTAAACGGTCAGATAAGCCGTGCCCATAGGATACTCGAGCCCTAACATCAAACATGTGCGCATGTGTAATCGTCTAATGAGAGAAGTATTCTTCCTTGATGATATCTCATGCTTCTAGAAAAATTTTCTATTTCACACTCTTGATCTATTGTGTAAACAGGCTTAAGGGTCGATCGCAACGGAAGTTCAAACTGCTAACGTTTCGAGACCATAAAACCTCAAAGGCAATCCTCGGTTTTACGGGCCACGACCACCCCACTAGGGGATTGACCCCTCAGTCAAGATCGAAGTAAAACGGAAGATAATCCCAAAAGGCAAGTTCCGAACTAAAAAGGCCATGGCCAAGTTAACACGAATCGTGGGCATCCGAAATTTGTAACAAATACAAAACCCAAGGGCTATATCTACCCAAGTTTGAGAATATTCTGGCTCGGGGACTATCTACGAAGCCTAAGGGCTAACTTTACTTCGAGTTCGAGCAAATCCTCACCCGATCATAAAGCCCAAAGGCTATCTTAACCCAAGTACGCGCATACCTCGAACACTCGGGGGGTACCTACTCGAGTTATCCTAGTTCAAAATCATAAGACCTCAAAGAGGCACCCCCTATATATAGGCCAAGACCATCATACTCAAGGACTAACCTTCCAAACAAGTTCGAAAGATTATCGGGAAGCAAGTCCAAGAGACATACCTGAAGGCTACGGCCATATCAAATGCTACGGCCAAATTAAAGGCTACGACCATATCAAAGGCTACGTCCATATCAAAGGCTACGGCCATATTAAAGACTACGGTCATATAAAAAGGCTACAGTCGAAATAATGCGGCTTGGGGACGTCCGAATTCCGCCATAAAATTAAAGGCCTTCAAATACTTTGAAAAATCAATTAAACTCGGCTACCCTTGAAAAAAGCAAAAAGGGCTTCGATAAAATCGGCCCTCAAATGATTTGAAGGCTTCGATAATATCATCCTTCGAAAAAACCTCAAGAGGTATTCAATTATTACACAAACAAGTTACTAATAAGGTTCTGATACGTCAAAACCCCAAAAAATCCAACGGGTACAAGAAACACATGCTAAGGCGTAAAGAAATTTTCACTAAGTCTTTTAGCCGAAAAGATGGAAAAATTATATGTGTCTTAGAGGCAAATTGGCCCAGTTGAAAGAGCCTAAAGGCGGACCTAAAAGAGCCTAAGGGCCGATCCAAAAAAGCCTAAGGGCCAGTATAAAAAAGCCTAAGGGCTAGCTTTATCTCGAGTTCGAGGAAGTACTCACTCGGGGACTATCTACGAAGCCTAAGGGCTAGCTTTATTTCGAGTTCGAGTAAGTACTTACTCGACTACTAAGCCCAAGGGCTACCCGGGTTCAAGAAAATTCTCACTCGGGGACATCTACGAAGCCTAAGGGCTAGCTTTATCTCGAGTTCGAGCAAGTACTCACTCGACTACTAAGCCCAAGGGTTACCCGAGTTCGAGAAAATTCTCACTCGGGGACTATCTACGAAGCCTAAGGGCTAGTTTTGTCTCGAGTTCAAGCAAGTGCTCACTCGACTACTAAGCCAGAGGGCTACCCGAGTTCGCGAAAATTCTTACTCGGGGACTATCTACGAAGCCTAAGGGCTAGCTTTATCTCGAGTTCGATCAAGTACTCACTCGACTACTAAGCCCAAGGGCTACCCGAGTTCGAGAAAATTCTCGCTCGGGGAATATCTACGAAGCCTAAGGGCTAGATTTATCTCGAGTTCGAGCAAGTACTCGCTCGACTACTAGGCCCAAGGGCTACCCGAGTTCGAGAAAATTCTCACTTGAGGGACTATCTACGAAGCCTAAAGAGCTAACTTTATTTCAAATTCGAGACATTGCTCTCACTCAACTCGAACTCAGGAGTCCCGGTGTCCCGAGCTTGCATCAAATCAGTTTAAGCTTAGCTCAAGGATTAAAAAACCCTCAAGGGGTATTGTATTGATAGATTAAAAACCTAAGGGTTTATTGTATTTTGAGTCCAGTATTCGGACTGATCATTAGAGTTATACACTCAAAAATGTTCACAAATGAAGACGGAATGGAATTTAACACATATCGAAGATGAAGTAAAGAAATTCTTTATATTTATGAAAGATGTTTACAAAAGATATTTACAAAACCCACGAGGGGCCCTTACACAGAAACAAAGAAGCAGAAACAAAAGCCAAGAACCTAATCTACTTTTGGGGCCATATCCTCGAGAGCGGCATCTCCGGGAACCTCCTCATCGGGGACTCCATCTTGGTCTTTGGAGAAAATTGTGGCCTGGTGGAAAACTTGGCTAGTATGGGTCTTATCAACGAAACTATTTTGAAGCCACTTTTTGAGATGTTGTACCGGTGTGGATGCAAGAGTTAGTAGGTGATAATGCCACCTCACTCCATGTAAAGCAGAAGGAATGAAGTGCCATAGGTTGAAGTTAAGAGAGATGAGTGGCAGGGTGAAGTTCGCATATTTTTTGATGCAGGAAGGATTCTGCGCACTTTTCTCGTTGTTTCGAATCGAAGCTTTGAAAAGGGAAACCTTGAAGTAACTGGTAAAGTTGCTGACATGCGACCAGGAGGTCGCGGATTCGAACCATAGAAACAGATGATTAGAGAAAGAAATAAAGAAGGGAAAGAATCAGAATAAATGTGATGATACAGTTTTTTGTTCAACGGAGTAGCCTCATATTTATAGAAAGGCGACGAAGGTTCAGTGGCGCTAGTAGCTGACCAGTACTGGCGTGCATTTGATGTTTTGGGGAAGCGTGCTAACATGACATTTCCAATCACTTCGAGCGCCTACGTCACGGGAATGACATCATCATAAGAGGCTCGGAAAAATCGAGGTTCAAATCGTTTCTTATCATCTTATTCTAAGAAACGAGGGGACTATCTATATACATTAGAAATCGGGGCTACCCGATTTATAGGTTCGAGAGGTCGTCAAAAGCTCGAGTCCAGGTAAGGTCGAGTTCGAGCTCGAGGGACCATATCCGAGTTCGAAGATAGAATGCAATGCCCGGAGATAGGAGTACGAGGAATACCAAAGCTGAGTATGCTCGACCCCGAAATAGCACTGTTATGAATTTGTAACAGAATGAGCTAGATTCATACCATGTCCCCAAGATCATGGCGCAAATCCTGGAATAGGATCGTACGATTCCGTACTAAGCGGTTAGACAGTTGTATCAAGAATATTCCTTGTTGTAAATAGAAAGATACCTTATTTAAGGTTCTCCTATTATATAAAGGGGACCTCAATCATTTTGTAACATCATCTGATCATTGAGAAAATAATATATTTCTGCCTTTTGCCTACTACTCATCAGAATTGTCTTTGGCTCTACTGCTCTTACTTACTTTACTTTTCTTACTTTATTGCTCTTATTGCCCAAGTCTATCTCGAGGTCTCAAGATTCGAGGTCGCTACTGCTGAGTAACATTTGTTTGATTCACTTGTTTCTTTTATTTCTACTTCATATTTCTTTATTGTTAATTGGTATTGAACTAAATCACATATCTTTAAAACCACAAATCAAATTTAATTGTTACTTGTATTTTCGAGGTAAACACAACTATTGCTATTGCTGGGAAAGATGCTTAATTATACAAATCAACCGCAATAATTCTTTTTCTTGTTTTCCCATCTGGAACGAGAACTTGACACCAAAGAATAGGAATTGATTCTTATCTGATCATCGTTTTTTAATTAACGTCAAAATGTTAATATTTCTGTCGTAAGTACGTATATGCAGGGGCGGAGTTAGAGTATTGTTAGCGGGTTCGGTCGAATCCATCAATTTTAGTTCGAACCTTGTATTTGTCTTAAAAAATCCATTGAATATGTATAAATTATTAATTTAGAACTCAGTAACTTAAAACGTTTAGAATTCCGAACTCATAAGCTTAAAATCTTGGCTCCGCCTATGCGTATATATATATATATATATATATTAAGAATGAGCAAAAGCTTGTATGGAAGTCTTGGCTATCCAGGATTTAGGGCTTAATCTTTTTTCTTTTGTCAAATTAAGAAGAACAGTAGCCTATCAGTGTCAAATAATACAATACAAAGGAAGAAACTTCTTGGTAGTGTACAAACCTCAGCCTGAGGCGTAAATTCTGCCATGTCTTCTTTTGTTACATTTACACTAGAAACAGTAGTAGAACAAAACAGATAGCTCTTTACTACTAGCTTCCAAAGTCCAAACTGACCAAAAGAATTAATCTTGATGGGATCCAGGTCAAGCATGTTGAAGAACAATGTTCAAATAATATAATTAATTAAAGAGAATAATAATCTAAGTCCCATGTGAAAATATAGAATGGATAATTTTATCTTTGAGGAAAAAGATAATAGACAACTAATGAAATACACAAAACTACAAGTTTATAATCCAATAATAGTAGCATCTCAAGTTGCATTTTGCCAGCTTGTGTAGATATTCTCTATTCACATGAGCCTCTCTCAATTTTCTTCATTAGTAGGACATAAAGAAGTATTAAATGCAAATATATTCAGGATATTTCCATCTATAAATACCCTCTCATTTTATCATTTTCAAACACCAAGCAAACAGCATTTTCACTTCATTAGCCACATTCAATAGTTGAGAGTGCTAATTAACACTGAAAAATGGCTAAGTTTGCTGCATCCTCCATTGCCCTTCTTCTCACTTTGAACATTCTCTTCTTCACTATGGTTAGTTCCACTGATGTCCCATGTCCACCACCCCCACACCACCCCAAACCCCACCCTANAACTGAATGCTGCTCTTTAATTCAAGGACTTGCTGATCTTGATGCTGCTGTTTGCCTTTGCACTGCCATTAAAGCCAATGTGTTGGGAATTAATCTCAATGTCCCTCTTTCCCTCAGCTTGTTGCTCAACAACTGTGGAAAGTATGCCCCCAAGGATTTCCAATGCGCATAAGCCATTTGGTTTTCTATTTTCCTCCAATAATTAATGTTTCTTTCAGTGTTATTGGTATTTTGTATGCTTATGGTTCATATTGCTTAGGGAGATATATTGTATTCTAAAAGGTTAGAAGGAAGGCTGGCCGCCTTATTTTCTATCCGCTGTATCCAATTTAATTTGCATTTGTAATAAATTTGACATCTACTAAGGAGTTTTGTATGTGTCATTTTCAGTCACATATGCCGTCCAAATCGACTCAAACTTTTTAGATAGACTAACTTGTGCTAGGCCAAAATGATCCGCTGATAAATATATGATCAGTCCAAGTCTAGACGGGTTGCATGGACTAAAGTTTCTTCTTCTCTGCCAGTTACTACTACTATGATCAGACATTTGAATCTACATATAATAGTTTCTTTTAACAGTACAGAGAATGATCATGTCTATGTTGGGATCGAAATAATCAGGTGTCATGCGGAAGCTAGTAAAGCAACCTTGAACGACGATAAATCAGAAAACAAAAGAGAAATATATCAAAAGAGACACAACCATATAACGTGGTTCGTGTTTGACCAAAAAGTGTTGAGCTTTTTGCTAAACTAATTAAATAAGAAGATTTTAGGTAAATCTCAGTCAACGATAATTTACTCTAGATCTAAGATAGAAGTAGGTAGTAAGCAAACATAGCACACATAAGATTTGATTGTAATATTGATTAAATCACATTATATAAGAAGAGGATGACGATTTCCATAATGTTGAACGACAATGAGGAATACATAGATGAAAAAGGTCACTAATCTTTAATAATGTAGAACCCCGTACATATGGTGTGGCGAGACTAACGATATATGTTGAAGATCTGAGCTTCCTTGCTTTTTTCTCCGTCATGGAGAGAGAGAAAGAGATGAAGATCTCTCCACTTTTTAGGGAGTATGTCTGTGTATTCATTTGTTCCGCCTCCCCTTGCTTCTTCTTCTCACTTAGTTTATATAATAGATCTTCTCCCTTACCTAACGGTCATTAACCATAGTACTTAAGTCATTTGATTATATTACGGACTAACCCTTGAAATATCGTGATATCCAATTCGCCCCCCAGATATCCTAAATACATGACCTCGGTCGTGGCCGAGGTGTGTGTCGTTACAGGGTGGTATGGATACGACAGTTTCAAGTAACTTCTCACTGTCCCTTCTCACGCCGATTCTTGTATGGTCAGATTTTGACTCATACAGTTAGTCCCTCCGCCCGTTGGGCTCACCTCTTGGTAAGCTCGATGGGCGGACTCTGTTGATTTGAAAATTGAGGGAAATCTGAACGCTTTATACGAGAGGCGAGTACCTTATGGCGAGGTAGCGACTTGACGTTTCGAGAGATGTGTCAAACTGTTACGTCAGTTTAGAATTCCATTAATACCTCTCATGCGTCATTATGGCGCACGCTTTCTATGAGTTGCATCATTTCTCGTGCCCACTTCCATTTTCTAAATAGCGGCGTTTGGGTTTCCCGCTCAGGGCATTCATATGCCTATAAATATGGGAGAATCTTTCATTTGAATATTACCCTTCTCAATCGCTCAAGAGATTCTTGCAGCTCTTCTTCTTTTCCAGTTTCTCATATTTCTGCTTCTGTGAGGATTTGTTGTGACTACTACCTTTTTTCCCTCATCACTTTTGTTTCTTTTAATCAAAGAAAAGATGGCTAGTGCTTCTTCCAACTTCGATAGAGTTGTTGGTGTTTCTTTCAACTCTCATAGAGTTGTTGGTGCTCCGGTGCTGGAAAATGATGTACCCCTAATCGAAGGAGGGGTGGAGATGGTGGAGGATGAGGGTTTTCCGACGGAAGATGAGGTGGTCCCCCGCCCAGGGAAGGCGAGGACCGATTTCAATAGCCCCACTGGAGAAGAGACGGATCTCGTTCCATTTACGATGGATGCTGTAGTGCTCACGGCATTCAGAGCCAAATGGGAGATCCCTGATCACATCAAACTGGTGCCGGCGGATCAGGACATAGTGCATTTACACCGTCCGGGCTACTGCGCATTTTATGCATATCCCTTTGTCATCGGGTACACATTTCCCCTTCATTCCTTGGTGGTGGATTTCTGCCGCTCCTATGAGGTGTATCCGGCTCAACTCTCTCCGTACGCGTACAAGCTTTTCCTTATGCTCATCAAGTACGCGGAGTTGGCCGGCCGAGGAATTTATCTACGACACATGCTTCACCTCTTCACCCCTTTTTTTCTCCGGGGTACGATGATTCACATGCGTCACCGAGGAACCAAGAGTATGGTGGTAAAAATGGACGACAAGGCAAATCGCTGCTTTTGGAAGAGCTTCTTCTGCATCCGAGCAGAGCACGTCGTGTCGAACCCTGCGGGGTTTCTTGAGATATGGAATTTCGCCCGTAGGTCTTCTTCTTTTTACTTTATGCACTTTCTCTTAAGATGGTCGTCGGTCGTCTCCCTTTAATGACCTCGTTGAGGGTTTATTTTTGTTTTTGTAGCCGAGAGAGTACCTCCTCCGCCAGTTGCTGATATTCGCGAGTGGGTGGGCGCGATTCTTCCCCATATGGTGGGGATTCGCGAATGGGCACCTTTCTATGAGAAGTTTGGGCGCAAGCCTCTTGTTGGAGAGTCGGCTCGTTGTGGCCTGTTACTTTGTCCTTTGCTCCGTATTTTCTTTTACCTTATCTTTACTTGATCGAATCTCTTCTCATTGGTAGGTTGGAGAGGAGTGAGAAGGGCAAGGGCTCCTACACTTGCTTTCCGCTAGCCGGCTTCCTCTGCTCATCCCGTTCCAAGGGCAACTGCGGGTGAGGGCACCCAAAGTTCGGTTGCTCGGCAGATCATGCCCGCGGCTAGACCTGTTCGTTTCGATGATGCTCCCCGATCAAACACTCTTGTTCTCATAGTCCGTTCAACGGAAGAACCTTCTCGCAACAGTGACGAAGAAGCACCTCAAAGAGGTAGAGGTTGTCGGAGAGGGCATCTTTGTTTTAGACGTCCTCGAGGGGCGACCCTACTTCAGCGCTATCTGAAGCTGGCGGTGACACCATCCTGGGTGCGGAGGTGATGCCTATTTTGATCATGGAAGAGACCACTGTGGTAGGGGATAGAGTCCGAGGGCCGCCACGATTGTTTCGAGCGGTCCATCGTCATCTCGGCAGGGCCACGCCCCCTCTTCGGCAAATAAGAGGTTAAAGGGCATGGTGGTGGATGATTATGAGTCGGATTCCGACATCGATCTTGAGGACATGAGGATGTTTGAGGAAGGCTTTACCAGGGTCAATGTGAGGGCGGAGGGTCCTTCTCGTATACTCGATATTCCATCGAATTTTAACCTGTTGGAGGACACGGTGGAGCTAGTGCCTTAGTTTGACCTTCTATGTTCTGCCACTGAAAGTGAGTCTCTTCCGGAGATCAATGATTCTGCTTTGTCACATGGTGTGGTCGGGATGGCCTTGAGGGTGAGTTTCCTTTCGCCTTTTTCTTTGTTTTGTGCTATTTTGCTTTCGCTGATTTCTCCCCTCTTTTTCTTTTTATTTAGACTTACATGCTGGAGATTGAGAGTGCTCGCAGGGCCGAGACCAGGGACGAGGTCTTTCTGAAAATGGCCGCGAAGTATCGCTGGTATCGCACCAAGTGCCGTGAGATGCACGCGCAACTTAGGGCGGGCGGTAGCACTCAATCCGTTAGGGAGGAGTTGGAGAAAAGGGATGAGGAATTGATGTGGTCTATCCGCAGATGCAGTGAGCTAGAACAGTTGCTCCATGCAAAAGACGAGGAGCTCAAATTGGGCAAGGAGGTTGCGGCAGAGTGCGAAGACCTTCAGGCGAAGGTGTTGTCTTTGGGAGTTGAGCTTGAACAGAACGCCACTAGAGTCACCGACCTAAGCGCAGAATGGATGGAGAAAAAGGTTGAGCTAGAAAAGAAAGTGGCCGAGTTGGAGAAAGTCAAGGGGGCTCGAGTGTCGGCTTTGGCGAGGGCGGGCGGCGCTGGAATACACTATCCGCGCACTACAACAAAACAAGCTTTTAGTGGCAATTATTTTGGTCTTTAGCGGCAATAAAAATTGCCGCTAAAACTTTTACCGGCGATTAGATAATAACCGACGTATCCAGCGTTGGCAAAGACTTTACCGGCCATCACACCAAGTGTTGGTAAAGAGTCCAACTATTGCCGCTAAAGGTGTATAAATTATAGCGACCAACGTATACTGGAAATTAAATGGCCACTAAAATCCTTCTAATATTTCATAGACCATACAATTAGCAGCCTATATTTTGCCGATAAAACCCATTATATTACCAATAAAAGAAGACTTTCTGATAGTAATTATAAGGGCCGGTAAAAGATATCTTTTAATAAGTTTCCTTATTGCAAAGTTAAGAGAGTTTTCCCAATATTCTTACTGTCAATCATTCCTATTTATATTCAATAATAATAATATTATTAATACTAAAAACATGATAAATTTCATCAAATTCACAACAAACAAAAATAACTATTAATCCATAATATCGAAAGTGTCAACACAACAGAAAATAAATAAATTATTTGGATCCAATAGCTAGTGTCATTTTGTGCCTAAAAACTAGTGTATCAAATAGCTACTACACTACACAATATACAGCGTATAAAAATTTCTTCAAACTCTTGATCAAACTGAAGTCTTCCACTTGTCAAATTTTGAATATCATGGTGCATGACCTAAAATGATATAATAAAGTAAATATTAACATGACTTAAGTAATAAAATATAGTCCTATATTTTTGAGTGATAACTTAAAAGTAATATTCAAAAATTATACACCTTTTACAAACAAGCTATTTGCAGTACCCGTAAAATTAAGAGCCATGTGATTTGCTAATAGAGCTACTTCGTCACGAAGATCCCAGAAGTCTTTACCTACTCTCATCACTCTCTATAGAAGTGATCTGAGCTTTCACCTGCAATTATCCAAACAGAAGCCAAGACTTAAATTTAGTCTCTTGCATAAACGCACAATATACAAAATCCATAACAAAGAAACCAAATGTAAATCATGAGAGTCATACAGGTGAATAACAAAGTGAAAATACTGAATTTTGTGTATATACCATGAGATTTGTTTCTATAATGTTCCCATATCCCACATTAAATTTAATAAAAGCACTTGATTGATATTTCTCTGCTAACATCCACTGCCTAGAACCACTGCTAACATCCACTGCCTAGAACCACTCCACCAAAGAAATTTAAACCATAACAATTTTACAGAAGTAACTTGGCACATGGTTACATATATATCAAAAAGACCAAATTCTGATAAATCTGTCTCTGCTCTTCCCAAATGCAGAACATAAATCCTCATTTCTCTTTGTTGTTGGGACCAATTGTATTTCAGCCATTATGGTATGCAGACAACATCCCATTGTATGATTAAGATAACAACAACAATAACGTGCCCAATATAATCCTACAACTGAGGTATGTGGAGTTTAGGATATACGCAAACCTTTTCTCTACCTTGTGTGAGTTAAAAGAGGTTGTTTCCGATAGATCCTTGGTCGTTATATGATTGAGAATTACAATCAAATGCAAATCTCATATCCAAATACACATACTAAAATAGAACTAGCTTGTACTACTAGTCCACAACGATACGTAAAGAATATAAAACATGCTCCTAGAGTATGAATCTCACTCATAACAGGAGCATAACACCAAATTTAAACAAAATAAATAATATAAATGACAACATAGAGAAGTGTTGTAGCTCTTACTAGTCAAAATCTCAAGTATGATGACGTTCTTTTTCATCTCTATCTTTGTCCTCTCTCTCTCCCTTCTGTCACTTTGATTCATGTGATTATCTCTGTGATGACAACCATGATCCTTCTCAATGTACCGATCTTTGCATTTATCCTAGTCCCAATCCTTATAATGCACTTTCTCCCTATCCTTTGCGCTGCTTCTTGATGAGTCCCTCTCTTTCTCATAGTTATGAAAACTATGTTGGAATAAGTAGAACTGTAAATAAGGAGTTATATTGAGGAAAATCATATCAATTAAGACTTGAAATTGAACAAATGAAATAAGCAAAAGATTAGGACACAGAAACTCATACTTAGAGAAGCAAACATGACTGGCCAAGTAAGAATTCCCGCATTCTGAAAACCCAAGGGCAGTCCCTCTGCAAGCTTAGCTTTAACATTTTCACAGATCTATTTGCAGATGCAATCCACTATTCTGCTTCCAATCACTGTGCTTAAGCCGAATAAGGCTTTGTATATTCCAGATATGATATTCACAATCACCTAGAGAAGTATTTATGATTCATATCTCATCAAGCAGATAAAAGATTCATTTGAACAATTAAAGACTGTTTGAAGAAATAAACTTTAAATGGCTCTAAGATAATCACGAATACACATAATCAAGATAAATGTTACATTCTATCATAAGCTTAATGCTAACAGAATTTGAAAAATCAGAGCTTTCAATTTTTGTTTTTCTCTTTTCTCTTATTGTTTGATAAAGATGGCATGCGGACCAGCTATACAGCCTTTGGGATGACATATGTTGAGTGTTGTAGTAGAATTCGAACCTGAGATCTCAAGAATTTTCTCCCATGTCTCAACTACTCATTTACCTCTTAAAAGAAATTGAATAAAAAGAAAAAAAATACATATTATAGGTGAGAATAAGGATCATGTCACATAGAGAAACCTAGTACTTGTAATCATCGGGTGCATTTCGAAAGATTTTGGGTTATCTTAACTGGCTTGTCAAGAAAAGATACAAGAAAATAGTAAAACTTGCATAAAGTCTATTTAAAAACTAAATAAGTCACGTAACAATGTTAAAACAATAAATTATCTATCAAGAGTATCCATGGAATCCCAAGTTTGTCTATAGATGATGGAATAGATTTCATCTCACCCGAATTGCTATGTACTTAAATGGACCAAATAATCAATCCCATCCAGAAAAGAACATTTGATGCTAATGTCTTACAGATCTAACACTTTAAGCACCTTAAATCTTTTCTGATAAGGCCTAAATTACTACATGATCCGGCATGATCATCAATAGCAGCAATGACTAATAGAGAATATGCTCGTCGACCAAAACAATTTGAGGATATACATTGAATCCATTTTGAATAAATTTAGAGCCAGCGATGCAAGTGTATTTTCAGACACAGAGAACTGGAATAATCAGAGCGAGCAGAATATTGATCATATCCATACAATGGCTAGAAGATATGTTCCCATCTAGCTTTAAATTGTTGCGGAAGCCAAATGTATATAGTGTGAATAAGTCACAACTACAATACCAAAAATTAT